TTGACAAAGCCCTGGCTGGGATGATTTAGTTGGTGTTGGTCCTGCTTTGAGCAAGGGGTTGGACTAGATGACCTCCTGAGGTCTCTTCCAACCCTAATATTGTATGATTCTATGAATGTCATTATCTACTCTATGCATGTGCTTTCAATAGGTGTGAGAGCAGTTTTTAAACTAAGGGCTAGGGAAAGCTGACATGTGTGGAGGAGCACATGGTTCAGATAGAGACATGCCTAAGGGGAGAATCTACTAATGGAGATTCTCTATGTCCTAGTAAGGAGGAGACAAGGGAAAATGATAAATACAGGTAGGATCTGATGAGAAACAGTCAAATGAAAAAAAAGTCTCATTCAATTACATCATGTAATGGGAGACAGCTAAAAAGTGACAAGTTTTTAAAGTGCTTACATACCAGTGCTAGAAGTCTAAATAATAAGATGGGTGAACTAGAGTGCCTGATATATTAAATGAGGATATTGATATAATAGGCATCACAGAAACTTGGTGGAATGGGGATAATCAATGGGACACACCATATGAGAACACAAGTGACACAAGCAGTACATTGTACTGTCTATTACAGACAGTATTCTGTCTGTAATACATTGACAGAATTACAGACCCCCCGCCCCCCAGAAGAGTAACCCTAATAAATGAGCATACTCCAAATTAACAGGCAAATCTGATAACAAAAGGGGTAAACAGTGAGGTGGCAAAATTTGCAGATGATGCAAAACTACTCAAGATAGTTAAGTCGAGGCAGACTGCGAAGAGCTGCAAAAGGATCTCTCAAAACTGGGTGATTGGGCAAGAAAATGGCAGGTGAAATTCAATGTTGATAAATGCAAAGTAATGTGTAACACCAAGAGACCCCAGTCATCAGCGGGTGGGATTGAACCTGGGATCTCTAGATCTTACTGCATGAGCCTCTCTTGCACGAGCTAAAAGCCAACTGGCTGTTAGCTAAGGCTGTATAGCAAACTCATTAATCTCTCTCTCTAAGTGGTCTTGGTGTCAGTAGATGGGACAGAACACCACACTCAGAAGGTGTGTGGGTTACAAATGCACATTGAAAAACATAATCCCAACTATACATATAAAATGATGGGGTGTAAATTAGCTGTTACCACTCAAGAAAGAGATCTTGAAGTCATTGTGGATAGTTCTCTGAAAACATCCACTTAATGTGCAGTGGCAGTCAAGAAAGCAAACAGAATGTTCGTCATCATTAAGAAAGGGATAGATAATGAGACAGAAAATATTATATTCTCTCTATATAAATCCATGGTATGCCCACATCTTGAATACTGCGTGCAGAGGTGGTCACCTCATCTCAAAAGAGATATATTGTACTTGGAAAAAGTTCAGAAAAGTGCAACAAAAATGATTAGGAGTATGGAACAGCTGCCATATAAGGAGAGATTAATAAGACTGGGACTTTTTAACTTGGAAAAGAGACGACTAAGGGGGGATATGATAGAGGTTTATAAAATCATGACTGCTGTGGAGAAAGTAAATAAGGAAGTGTTATTTGCTCCTCATAACACAAGAACTAGGGGTCACCAAATGAAATTAATAGGCAGCAGGTTTAAAATAAACAAAAGGAAGTATTTTTCCACACAACACACAGTCAACCTGTGGAACTCCTTGCCAGAGGATGCTGTGAAGGCCAAGACTATAACAGGGTTCAAAAAAAGAACTAGCTAAATTCATGGAGGATAGGTCCATCAATGGCTTTTAGCCAGGATGGGCAGAGATGGTGTCCCTAGCCTCTGTTTGCCAGAAGCTGGGAATGGGTGACAAGGAATGGATCACTTGATGATTACCTATTCTGTTCATTCCCTCTGGGGCACCTGGCATTGGTCACTGTCAGAAGACAGGATACTGGGCTACATAGACCTTTGGTCTGACCCAGAATGGTCATTCTTATGTTCTTATGAGAACTACCCCATCCATACTGTAAAATCCCTCTGACAAAGGAACATAACTGTATATTTTCTTATTGCTGTGTAACATTGGGTGTTTCTTTTGAACTCCCACCAGTTGTTTTTTTTTTTATAAACAGAAACCAATTTAAACAGAATCCCATGGAGGCCAAGTCTGGTCTCATTGGGATTTGGTTTCATTTTCATTAAATGCTGAACTAGGGGAAAGACATTTTATTATTCTTCCAAATTTCTCCAGCTCTTTTGATAAAGGTAAAACCACTTTAATTAACATATACAGTAGTACAAATTAAAAAAAAGTTGAACAGTGCAATTTGCATTTTGACCCCTTTAAATTTATTGTTTGTACCCAGCAGTAGATCAGTAATAGCTCTGAAAGACTACTTCAGGCTTAAGGTTAGGTCTGTTTTTTACTTATGTTTTTGATTAAAAACCTATCCTTTGTCATATATGAGCATCAAATGTGTATAGCATCATGAAAACAACTCATTCATGTACACACAAAGCAAAATCTACAACTGAGGTAAATCAACAATGCTTCTTTGAATTCTACTCTGATTTACACCAGCTGAGGATTTGGACCTATATATTTATAATTAACAACATCATAACTGTGTTTAGTTATGATTAAGAGCCAAAACACTAGAACATAGGAAACCTGCTCATCTCTTGCAAAATGGGTCATATTTCTTAGCTGGTATAAACTGCTGGAAAAAATGGAGAAACATCATAAAATATGAATGAAAATAAACTATTTCTTGTGGCTAGAATTATAGTTTGAAATGGGTATACTAATTCAGCCATACAATACATTTTCCCCCAATTTCATATTGTGGCTGAACAACAAGCAAAATAATGGATAGTCTTTCTGCACTAGGTGCAGGTGGAGCAAAACTTTCACTGTAGGAGCCTTGTAAATACCCAACAAATTGTTCATATATAAAGGCAGCAAACAGAGTTTTCTTCTAATTGGCAAGCTATTAGAGCTGCCACAAGAATGAACAACAGTCTTCATAAGTACAGTTACTAAATATTTACAAAAGCAATAATATTCTTTCCTATTACTGCTTCACATCTTGGCATACTGCTCTGAGATCATATGTACTTTAAAGAAGAGGAGGGGGCAATTCCTACACGAACAAAATAATTAGCGTCCATTCCACATCCAGTTCTCCATCTACTAAAATTATTGAAAGCCATAACAACTAAATCTGCTGATACTAGCATCTAAAATAGCTGTTAAAGCACACCAAGATTTAACATATAATTGGCTGCTGCTGCAAGCTGTAGGATCTGTTCCAGGTCATTTCACACACAAAGTGTCCTTTGATGCCCCTCCTTACATTTCCTCTTAATCCTCCTCCATTGTTTTAACCTTTAGACTGCATTATAATTCCATTGCTTTATTTTAGTTCTGCTTCATACAATGCAAAAGAAATGATGGCCCAGAAACTGTGTCAGTTACTAAAATGAACTTCCTCACTGATGAGCAAGCTGGAGAGTGATATGGCTGAATGAACTAATATTTTTCTGTTAGCTTTAGATCTTTGAAAGAGATTTTCTCATTCTGTTAAAGCTAAAATACTTATGGGTGTGCAAACCTAAAATTATTCAGGATAGTGGGAAGATGAAAACAATGCAGACTTCAGGTCCATTCCCCTCACTGCTTGAAACTATGGAGGAATTCAGATCACTATTCAAACTTTGTGTCTTGGGCCTATTTCTGTTTCTGAGATTGGGTTTATTTTGGGTAAACATCTAAAAGATCAAATGCTTATCCAGACCTCTTCAGTGTTCAAAACTGAGCTAGAAATCTCATACAGATACATGTCTTTATGAGATTTATGACACCTCAACATCTGGGACATGTCTGGAAAGTGGAAATATAAGAGATTTATCAGAACATTTCAGAACCTCCCAAATTATTTTGATATTTAAAATAGTCAAATATTTGGTGAAGGAATAACTTATATGTGGAGTTCTATTCGTCCCACTTCACTCACCCATGAAAACAACAGTAGAGGGTAACAAGATCTGCGGCAGTTTCAGAATCTGAATATAAGGGGATGTTAATGTAGAAAATCCTGTAGTAAATATACAGATTAACTGAACAACTACAACCTAAGGAACATTTTTCATTTTGGGAACAAAAAGGCAAGGACAGGTGGCTTTTTTTAATGTAACTTGATGATTAATGCAAAATGATATGAGCTGTGAAACATGCTGATAGGCCACCAAACCTCCTACACATGTCTTCACGTGGGAGGTTGAGAAAGTGCAGTATCTGCCACGCAAAATAAACAGATAAAGTTTTCACCAGCAACTAGTTCTTCTTTTTTGTCTGACCCCATTTGTGATCACCTAGAGACAGAAGTGTTATGCCTGACTCCAAGTCTGCCTCAAAACAGACAATGTTGAGAGAAATTAAGGAACCTGTGCTGTCATGGAAAGATAGATAGATCATCTGCCATCTGTAAGTGTAAAGTGGATATCATTTTAAATCAAGATTAGCCCCAATTTACATCTATTCTATCTATTTTTTAATTTATGTCAATTTTCAGTGGATAAGTCTATCATACTGTGGGTTTCATCTCTTATTACTTGCACAAGCAGGGCTAGATGGTTCCCTAGATCCACACATGAAAAGGAATATTTGTGTATGGTCCATTCCCAATTTATGCAGAAAAGGAAGAGTGATATAAATGTTACCTTTGGGTGGGCTAGAGTTCACTTCATTGCCCTTCTCCAGTGCCTAATACTCCCCACCCCCAAATCCGATAGAAAAGCAGCTGGAGACCCAGAATTCAGTCTCTAAGGATTTTCAGCAAGGATTGCACAGGGTCAACCTCTCCACATTAAAGTCCCCAAAAGAACAAAAGGAAGTAATTCAATTAGTAACAACTTTTTAAAAATCTTATGATAAAGAAACGGTATTTTATAATCCACATACATTATCTTCACAGTTATACATAAATGAAGAAAACACATTAAATCTACAAAAGTCTGTCCCCACAGAAACACAGTGAGAAGAAATCCAAAAGCTTAGGCTGAATTCACCTGAGTCCGCACTGAATCTATACAGTCTACTGAGTCAAAAAGCAACATCTTCCCTCCACTGGCTTGTAGTAATCTTCAGTTAGAATCCATGCAGACTTTTCCTCCGCTGAAACCACCGTTTGCCAGTCCACTGATTAATCTAGATACTTAACTGAGTGGTTGGTTAAAAAAATCATGAGAATAGCAAAATAGAAATGACTCTTTCCCCATTACTACATTTAAAGAAAAGTTGGTGAATAATTCTCGTTGAAACAATTAACTAAAACAGTTTGGCTAAAATTAACCAACATTCAACATATACAATTAAAATAAATTAATTTTCCCTCCCAATTTCTCTTCTCTATAATTAACACTGCCCATGTTGGAGGGTTAACAATATGACTAACCTACTGCAACATGCTTCAGAGTTAGGGACAACAACCTGCTTTCTACTCCCGGGCTCAGCTTCTCCCAACTCAGACAGGGCACACGGCCCTTCATAAAGCAGCTGGCCTGTGTGCTTGGAGTCTGACCCCAGCAACAGGGAACCTATTGGAGCATCTGCCTAGCAACAATGACCCAGATACAACTCACTCCTACTCTCCTAATAAGTCTCTTAAAGAGATATCTCCCTACTAGGCACATGAGTTACATACACTCCTCTTGAACAATGTCTCCCTTGTTTCTGGAACCATGGATGTTTCTCCACAGTTCAGGGAGAATGTGTGTGGAGATGGAGCTAGGGAAATGGAAGTGCTATGCACATTAGCCACCCTACACCTGTCCCATAGAGAATCTAATAGAAAGGCATGGACAGAAAACCTGACTCTCTCTTGTGTTTGTGGACACCATTCATGCCATGGAATCACCGCTTACATTTCCCAGGGGAAATGGCTACTGAGAGAAGAGCTGTCAGCAGGACTTCACCAGAACCATGCTGACTGGTGAGTGGGAGAAAGTTACAAGGGGCAGAGGAGTATTGAAAACGCTTCTGCCTGGAAGACTCTGGCCCCCATAGGATCCCCCAAGATATATAGATTCTGAGGACTGAACACACCGTCTGTTTTTTAGTGGGCAAACCCTGACCTTTGATGGAATCTTCTGGAGAAAATTCTGTAAAGGGAACCCGAAGTAGTGTTGCTCCTGCCTTACCTTCTCTGCCAGGTTTTCTCATATCAAGGTACAATCTGGTTGCCATTAAAGTACTTGAGTATCCAGCTACTACAGTGAAGGGTGAATAAGAAAGGTATTAAGCACAATTGGCATTTTAATTGTGTCTACATTTTCCAAGCGCTACCACCCAAAAGCGAGAGTTGATACACAGCAGTTTTTCCATATACTTAGAATAGGAAATATCTGCAGTGTCTCAGATATCACTGTGTGACAATTGTTCATAGCTGATGACTTTTTAAATAGTAAACTAATTGAGTGATCAAGACAGATCACACTCATAAATCTCTCGTGTGTAAGTATATTTTACTTAAAATGCACATACGGTAGTTTCCAAGGAACAATCTCTTGTGCTAGTTAGAACTTAAATGTTTAGGATCCAATTCTGTCTACTTGCTTTCTGTGGCTGTGGCTGATTTTCCAATTGGCCTTCAGAGTGTCTTGGTGGGTATGTGTGTTCTTTGTTTGGAATTCTGACTTTGCAAGGTAAATAGAGTGTATATATATATATATTTCTTGAAGGGGTATTAATTTTTAAAACAGTTCTTAAATACAGACATGGAGAAATGTCATAGTCACCTTTATTTTATTAACTTGGAAGGAACTCCCAGTATAGATACTACATCAGTGGTTGTTTAACTCCCAAGGAAAATGTACCAGCCAGCTTTACCATCTCACAAAGATTTGCCAATTCTGCGCAGAGAAATTACATTAAGGTATATACTTTTCAAAGTATATTTAATTTTGGTATTAAGCAGCCTTCAGAAATATTACCAGGTGGTTAGTTGGTCAGCATATGTAGAGAAGCATATTTTGTTTTGATACACATGGCTGAGTGAATAAATTACCTACATGTTTGTAATTTTATCTTATGTAGTTTTCTTGGGGGAGATGGGTGAATCCACTTAGCAGTCTAAATCATATTTTCTCTGGAAAATATTAATGAAAATTAGGTTGTTGATTTTTAAATAATAACGGCAGAAGCACTAAACAGAATCAGTTAATCTCCCTGAGTAGATAAGATTCATCTTGGTTATCCATTTGTGCCACATTCATGCCAGCCTCTGAAAATAAATCTAGAAGTCAACCACTGCTCAGCTGTGAGCATTAATTCATCTGATGCTCTCTGACAGGTGTTGCCAGCCTCAAAACTTCAGCAGGTTCTGAAAAAAAAGAGGAGTTGGGGGAAGAATTATATCATGGTTGCTGGAGCTTGGAGGAACATCTGACTTTGCTTTGCAAAATTTCTTTCTGATGTTGACATTTTCATGGAGTTTCATGAACAATCTTGTGACATTCAGAATCTTGTGACATTCTGATGAGCTGAGTGAAATTTCTTTCCCTTACTTAAGCAGTAGCCTAAGACTTTTGTCTCTCTCTCCCCTGCCCCATACTGAAATTTGCAAAGCATCTGGTGAAATTGCTGCATCACACATAACCAAATCTGGACATGACACTTTTGGCAACTATTATAGATTCAGACTCTCTTTCCAGTGCAGGGGAACTTCATTAGCAGCTGGACCAGAGAGCTGCTTCTGGCTTTGACCTGTCAGTGTACTGAGTCCCACCTGGAGCTGGTTACTGAATTATTGCACAGTTGGGACTGCACTACAATATGACTGTGCAGTGCCAGATGCATGTGTGCAAACTGGGGATTTGTGCATATACAACACACTAGCACATGCCCACTGGGTGTTTTGAGCATGGTACTTGGGAATGTGGGAAAGTACTTTATAAAAATATTTGTTTAAGAATACTGATCTGTATTCAAATAATATAATCAACAGCAGTAATGTAATCAACTCAACAGTTTATAAAAGCAGCATGGGTTAAGATATCTTCCCTCCACTTGATAGTTATCAGGTGTTGTATTTGCCTGTCAGCTGTAGCCATTAAAAACCTTGTAGCAACTTATTTCATTAGTAATTTTGAAATCTATATTGGAAATGGGGATAAAGGAATGGATTTAAGAGCTACGTGCAATGAAGTAGAGGCCACATGAACATTTTTTTACACTGGTTTTAAACTATGGCTGTAAAATGGGATTAGGAGTAAATTTGAGAGCTGCCAAGGAGTATAGGTAAAACAGCACATGCTGTTCATTCAGGACTTAATTCAACTCAAAATGACAATTTGTTCAAGTCTTATTTGAAATGTGTACAAAAAAAAAAAAGAGAATCAAAATGAAAATTAATCACAAATTATCTTAGCAGGTGGCAAATAGAGCCAGTTAAACACAATTTGCTGAATATCTTATATATGCTGAACAGCAATATCTGTCAAAATAGATGTTTGGTGGAATATTTTTTGAACATTTGCCTAAAAATTCTCAGTCTTAAAACTTGAGCTCATTGACTCAAGAGTATGTCTACACTATGGGATTAATCCAAATTTATATAATTCGAATTTTGGAAACAGATTGTATAAAGTCGAATGTATGCGGCCACACTAAGCACATTAATTCAGCGGTGTGCGTCCATGTACCGGGGCTATCGTCGATTTCTGGAGTGTTGCACTGTGGGTAGCTATCCCATAGCTATCCCATAGTTCCCGCAGTCTCCTCCGCCCATTGGAATTCTGGGTTGAGATCCCAGTGCCTGATGGGGCAAAAAACATTGTCGCAGGTGGTTCTGGGTACAGCCTCACCCCTCCCTCCATGAAAGCAACGGCAGACAACCATTTCGCGGCTTTTTTCCTGGGTGAACACTGCAGACTCCATACCACAGCAAGCATGGAGCCCACTCAGCTCAAGACAGCAGTCATGAACATTGTAAACACCTCGCGCGTTCTCGTGCAGTTTATGCTGAGCCAGGACCAGAAAAATGAGGCGAGGAGGTGGCGGCAACGGCAGCGCAGCGACAAGCGTAATGAGCACATGGACATAAACATGGACACAAAATTCTCTCAAACCACGGGCCCCGGTGCTTTGGAGATCATGTTGTTAATGGGGCAGGTTCTATCAGTAGAATGCCAATTCTGGGTCCGGGAAACAAGCACAGACTGGTGGGACCGCATAGTGTTGCAGGTGTGGGACGATTCCCAGTGGCTGCAAAACTTTTGCATGTGTAAGGGCACTTTCATGGAACTTTGTGACTTGCTCTCCCCTGCCCTGAAACTCCAGAATACCAAGATGAGAGCAGCCCTCACAGTTGAGAAGCGAGTGGCGATAGCCCTGTGGAAGCTTGCAACGCCAGACAGCTACCGGTCAGTCGGGAATCAATGGAGTGGGCAAATCTACTGTGGGGGCTGCTGTGATGCAAGTAGCCAAAGCAATCACTGAGGTGCTGCTATGAAAGGTAGTGACTCTGGGAAATGTGCAGGTCATAATGGATGGCTTTGCTGCAATGGGATTCCCTAACTGTGGTGGGGCGATAGATGGAATCCATATCCCTATCTTGGCACCGGAGTACCAGGGTACCCATTACATAAACCGCAAGGGGTACTTTTCAATGGTGCTGCAAGAACTTGTGGATCACAAGGGACGTTTCACCAACATCAGCATGGGTTGGCTGGGAAGGGTTCATGATGCTTGCATCTTCAGGAACACTACTCTGTTTAAACGGCTGCAACAAGGGACTTACTTCCCGGACCAGAAAATAACCGTTGGGGATGTTGAAATGCCAATAG